CCACAGCCCGTGGGGAAGGGCAGGAGGCAGCAAGGAATTTGCCCTGGTAACTGAGGGCACAGAGGCACTGGCTGTTCTAGAACTCGCTCTGTCCACGCACCCTGTGCCTTGATGTTGACACAGCTCGGGGACCCTTAACAAGGAGGGGCTTCTTTGGGGCAATGTTGGGTGCAGAAAAGCTTAGGCGGCATTTTGGTTCTGAGAAAGGAGCCCTGTGTGAAAAGCAAGGAGATAAAAATGGGTGGAACCAGGAGAGGAGGTCCAAAGACCCCATTACATGGAACAGGGCTTCCTTTCACTCACTTACTCATCAAGTAGTTACCAAGGATCTACAAGGGCCAGGACCCATGCTGACATTGTGTGGAACCAGGGTGTGGGAGTGCCTGACGGGAATCTGCGTCTGTATTGCCACCACTGGAGACAACCTCAGGACCCAACCCATGTCATCTCTCTACTGTCTACCGTACCTGGCAGAGACAGCAACTACAGCCAGTGGGGGAAACTGAGGCATGGTGGTCAAGAACTCAGAAGGGCACAACTGTAGCCAAGTCTCCTAATGCCCATAGTAGTCCTGCTGTGAGGGATGGAAGCCCTGGGGCCAGGGCCCTGCAGACAGGGCCCCATGGAATCGGACATACGATGACACTGACTTAGGGGCTCCAAAGATGGTCATGGAAGCACTCAGGAGGCAAGGTCTGCAAAGAAGTTTATGAACCTTTGGTCACCAGCTGGTGAATTTGCCTACATGAGTGAAGAAATACCAGTAATCACTTTTTTCTTTTTTTTTTTTTTTGCTTCTGTGTTTGCTGTTTTTATACTCCCCAGGGAAAATTTTCACCTATGGCCAAAAATAGATTGAGGGAGGCTAGTTCTAGCATGTGGAGTGAGTGTCTGAATTAAAAAAACATGTTGCTTAATAGCGCTCCGTCTGAGGGCTTGAGGGTGTCACAATGGTGACAGTGACAACGAGGACAGTAAAAGCTACCGTTTGCTGAGCACCTACTTCGTGCCAAGCACCTGACTCGGTGCGTTCCATATATTACCTCCCGGCCCACTGGCAGATAGTCATCTTGACACACATGAAGGGAGTACAAGTGGGTTTTTTGCAGGTTTCTGCAGGTTCTGCTTTGTGTCGGCTTTTTCCCTTGAGGACCTACTCTGTTTAGCAGGTGACCCTGCTGGGCTGTCAGAGGAGTGTCTGGCCCTGGCCTAGGCCCTCCGTCACAGGCTCAGCCCCAGCTTCAGCCCCAGCTGAGACCTGGCCCAGCAGGGGCTCAGCCATGCCCATCAGGATGCCACAGTGTCGGGCCTGCCAGCTGTGTGACCCAGCCACCTCCCCGCTCCCCGGGGCCGGGAACTCTCCCAGCTTCCACCGGTGCTGCCGGAGGGGAGGATCCCAGTGGCCCCTGTGTTCACGGCCATGTTTATTTTGAGTCGAACAGGAGGGAACAAGCCAAGGAGAAGGGGCAACACCAGAATAAGTTAGGAAATAATAAACGTTTTAAAGACGGTCAGAGCCTCCACAGCTGTCAAACCACGAGCTCTTTCGTGGACACCGGTGCTTCCTCTGGTGTGGGACCCTTGAGGCATGTGACAGGACACGAGGGCAACCCCACGCCCGTGGGGGCCTCTTGCAGAGCGGGCTTGGGGGGGCCGAAAGAACTGGTGGTGGGGCAAGCCATGAGTTTGCTCACCATTGTAGCCACGGCAGGGACGTGTCGCGCTGCGGAGCCTTACACAGACGTGGGGTGATGCAGGGGGCCATCAGGACACAGTGGCTGTCACTATGGGGGGAGCGGGGCATAATACTGGATGTGCTCAGGGCCAGCCGGTCCCTCTTGCAGGTGCCGGAAGGCGCGCTCCCCCCAGACAGAGGGAAGAGTGACGGTAATAAGATTATAATCCCAAGTGATAGTCATGACAGGAGCCCCATGAGGTGACGTGCCCCGAATGAGTTAGGGCCCGGGACCTCCTCGAGAACGGGGCGTCGGCGCACAACTGTACAAGGAAGAGAGGGTTGTAAACGGGGGCCTCTGCAGGGCCGAGCCCAGGCTCTGTGGACTCGTTCTCTACGGTGTCCCCAGTCACCCACCGAGTCTCCCCTCTGCTGCCCGTCCTCGCCCTCACTCCTTCTCTTTCACAGTGACCAGGTCCCCTCGGAGGGAGACTCTGTCCGCGGAGGTGGAGCGCCGCCGCCTGCCTGCGGGGTCGTCGGGCCCGGGCCCCGCGGTGGGCACCGTCAGGAGGACTGCATCAGGCCGGTGAGCCGCTTGCCCGCCAGCGACTTTCCCTGCAGAGACAGGCGACAGAGTTGGCACGCACAGGCGTGCAGGTGCACGTGCACACACACACACACACACACACACACAGGGACGGAGACAGAGACAGAGAGCCAGACAGGTGAATTAATTGCTGCAAGAGCCACAGAGGCCAAAGGACTTCGCTAACAGACCCTGTTGATCTCTGGGTTCAGGAGCCCTGACTGCAGACAGCCGGAACCACCAGGCCTCTGGGAGGCAGGTAGGGCGTGAAGGTGTGTTGCTGGTACTCTTTTTGGGGTGTGGGGATTTTACTTACCCCAAAAGGAGGCATTTTCACTCGTAAGTAGAGTGTCTCCTAATGCTTGTGGGCTGACCCTGCACTTAATTTGATTCAAGGGAGGAAGGAGCGTGGACTAGGGAGTAAGATCGGGGAGGGTGGGTTGACCCACACAGGTGATAGTTGGGTCTGGGTGACTAGAAGCTATGAGTGAACCAGTCTTAAGGATGCAGGAGATGTGTGAATGCAGAAGAATGCAGACAACCTGGGATCCTGTCTGAAAGGTAGGATGGAGACCTTTTTGGGAGAGACACAGGCTTGCCACCGGTTCTGGGACTGAGGAAATACAGGGGCCTGTGCCAAGGCTGGGAGTCTGGGCTGGGGATCGGGGGGTTCCCACAGGCCCCAGGGCAATACACTCCTGCTGTGGCCTGTGTTCCTGGCTCCCTGTGCAGGGAAGGAGTTTGATGACTTCCCACAGGGACCTCTACCAGCCCTTCACTTGCCACCCACACAGAAGGTCTTGAAAAGGAAAAAAACTAAATGGGACCATATCCTGGTGCTTGAGGCACTGAGATCCTGGCAGAGGCCAGTGACTTGTGTGCCTGGGAGAAAGTGGCTGAGGAGCCTCTGAAGTGGGATTGGGCACCACAAGGATGGATGAGGAAAATGACCGAGTCTCCATCATTCTGCTTGTTCCCCTTGACGCAGCCTGTGCCCGTTCCCTGCTCACCCTCTAAAGGAAGACAGAACATCGGACAGGGGTCTAGAGGAGAGCCTGGCTGGATCCGAGCAGACTGATCACTGTGTCTGAGAAAATACTCAAAACCCATGCTATTACTGACAGCCGGCCGGCGACACTGTCGCCATCTGTGAAGGGGAGCACGTGTCCTCATCGGCATGGGCTGCGGTGTTGGGTACTGAGAGGCCGAAAGGGCCAGCGGTCCCTCGTGTTCATTTCCAAGTGGGGCGTGAGGGCTCATCTTGTTTACTGGGCTTGGCTGCGTGCAAGCTGGATGTAATTAAAAGAAATTGATCAGGTTTGTGAAGCCTGGTAGAGTACTCAATAAACCGGCTGATTGATGAATTGATGGATAATGGGTAGATCTAGTAAATGAACAAGGGCTGTGAGTTTGCTGGATGCAAGACAACGTGTCATCTGGCTTAGCTCTCCACAGAGGGACACGCCAGCTTGACTTTGAGAATTCCAGTGGCATGCACGGGAGCTTGTCCAGAAATGCAACTGCCCCCGGGAGCTGTCGGAAAGTCTGCGTTGACGTCCCCTTGCTCTATTTCCCCTAGTATTTCACTCCTCATTTTCACAAGTGAGACCAAACTTCCTTTTTTCTCCCCTATTTTAAACACACACACATACACACACACACAAAATCTCCCCAATAGCAACCTTATCTGCATCTTCAAATACACTAAACTTAGCCAGCAGCAGGGTACATTTATATCAGGCTAAGGATTTTTTAATCAGATTTTTTTAATCCTAGAGGGTTACAGTGCCAGTCTTTGCAAGTCACTAAAAGCTAGGTGGCTATTCCTCTGTGGAGAGTGGGTTAGATAGGACAAGAGCTCGCAGCTGGCAGAGGCTGACCTTCAAGGACTTTGTCCAGCCCTGGATTCTAAGGCACAGACATGGCTGGTGCTCTCCTTGACTGCCCTTTCTTAGATGGAGCTCGAGGCATTTGTCATCCTGTTGGTACACCTGCTTCCTTGGTGCAGCTCTGAAGGCAGGAAGCACCAGGATGTGTGTGTGAGGTCCTCTCGGGGGAAACGTGGAGCTGATGAGTCTAGGGGTCTCCCGGTCTGAGAGTTCTAACAAACCTCCCCCGGCCCCCTTCACCCATGTCCATCCCTGCTCATGTGAAAGGCACTGCAGGATTCCGCTCGCCTCTTGGTGCCCCTTATTTCTGCAGTTACTGCACGCCAAATACTGGCTCCTCCCTTTCTCCTTCTGTCTGTTTTCCACCAGGGCAACAAATGACATCTTGGGTCACTAAATGTATATCTTTTGGCTTGGCCACCCATGGTATTCGGGTCTGACTGAGCTGGCGGATGTGAAAAAAAAATCACTAAAGCCCCCAGATAGCAGTCTATTGTGAGTGTGTATGTGAAGAGCCCAGAAACAAAGCAGATGACGTTTACCAGGCATCCAAACCCTCATTACGGCTTCTTCCTCATTAGTGAGATCATTTTGGCTGGAGAGGGGGCTGTAGGGTAAGCAAGGCTGAAGGTTCTATATCTGGATTATTATGGGACTGCCTATCTGTTTTAGGTGCCTTTGGTCCTGAGGTCCCCCACCTTCCACCCCTCCCTGTTCTGTAGAAGAGGCTGTGTTGGGCTTGGGGGCGCTAATTAATGTCCTCCTGCTTGAGTCCTGGAGCTCAGCTTCCCAGCTTTGCAGCTGCCGTCAATGCCTTTCCCTCCCCTCCCCCCCAGCTGCTTCCATCTCTCAGGACTTCAGAGGTCAGCCTAGAGCACTTGCCCTGAGATTGTTCCCAGCCTCTCAGCAATCCAGGTGGTGTTCCTTGGCATTTCTGTCTCCCTCCCCCCACCCCTGCACACACACATTTTTCAAATGCCAGTTCTGCTGCTAAAGGAGGTCGTGAGGTTTCAGGTCCGCTCAGGGGGCAGCTCAGTCCAACTGCAATCTGTCCGCTACTCAGTGACCTCCCGCGTGGGGCTGGAAGGTGGTTATTCATGCAGGACACAGGCATGGCTAGATGCCTGGCCTCGGGCTTTGGGGAAGAAATCCTGCAATCACACTGGCTCAGCAACTGCCTCTCTTCTGAAGAGCTGAGGCTCCTGGAATTTTCAGGGATCAAAGAGAAATCTGACAGCAGAGGCTACCTGTGTTCAGAGATGAGCTACCCCAGGGTCTGTGCTGCTAGGTCTTGCTGGGAGCCCCTGAGCTCCCTGCTCTGTCCAGAGAGGAGAGCTCCTGTGCTGCACCCTCTTGGGCCCTTTCCTCCCTCTTCTTCACCCCCTCCCCTGCCTCACTGGATGATCCTGTAGGAAACAGGAAGGGCAGGGGAAATTCTACTTCCACCCGGCATCTTGCACAGTTACAGGGGAAGCCATTGTCTCAGGGTCTGAATGTGTGATGTTCCCCAGTGCCGGTCAGTTGGGAACGGATCATGGTACCAGGGAGCTGCAGCCAGCTCTGCCTGAGGCCTTGGCGTAGCTGAATGAGGCGGCTGAAGGTGGTTGAAAATGCTATTAGCAGGCAGCCTTTGTCCCAGTGAAAAAATACACAGTGATTAAGAACTGAACTGCAGAAGGTACATTCCAGAGACACCAAAGCTTTGCATACAGACAAAGTGCTTTTCACCTTTGAGACGTTTGGGAAAGTTAATCCAAGAGAATCAGGATCCTTCAATTTCATAGCCTGGGTTCACACACACCCACCCTCCACCCTGACTAATCACTTTAGCTCTGTGGCCATCTTGATGGCTAGAAGCCTGGAAGAAGGTGGTCATGGAATCCTTTGTTTCTAAAAGGAAATGCACAAAAGGAATGGCTCCCTTTTGTGCAGTGCTTTAAGAGAAATCGACATGCTGCTTGACATGCTATGGCTCTGTGCGTCGCACTTCCAGATATTAATCAACAAAGCATGCACGACCCGGGGTACCAAGAGCTTTCGCACTTACTTACCTGGGTCACTGATGCTACACTCTTTGGCTGGGAGGAGGGCTGTGGCTCAGAGAGTAACCTTGGGGGTTAGGTGGCATTTTGGGGGCAGCAGAGCCAAGTGCTAGGGACTCAGGCAGGACTCTTTCCAATTCTAAGGGAGTAAAGATATCTGAGCTGCTGATGGGACTCTCAGGCTGATTTGCCCAGGTGATCTAAGACCAAAGTTACCGATCTCAGGTCCACCCAGTCTAAGTCCATGTTACTATGGGGATAGAGATCAACTGTGGTTGCCTCTGGAGGAGAAGGAGGGAACTGATTGGAAAGCGGCATGAGGTTACTTTCCAGAGTCATGGGGCATAGGTGACACTGGTACATAGATTTGTTATTTTCACTGGACCACACACTTCAGATCTGTTCCTTCTGCTATCTGGAATTACCGTCAAAAGAAAAAGAAAAGATTAGGGGAAAAAATCCATTACATCTCTCCTTTGAAGTTTCTCACTCCTTACTCTCTTTCAGTGGCTGGTCCCATGAATTTGCCTTTTGGCTCAATCCAATGCTTCCTCATCCAGTGTAGGAGAAACCTGGCTCCTCTGTGAGAGGAACTGGAACTTGCAATAGGACCAATTTGGAACACGGTGCCTAGTGCATTGATCCAAACGGATCACCTTGTTGTGATACAGGCATTTTTCATCCTTATTAATGAAAATCGGGTTTTGCTGAATGGGGCTCACCAAATGACCTCAGTGGGCAAGAAGTGGAGGCTACAGAGATGAGCTGCCCTCAGAAGGAGACTGAAGGACACCCATGAGTAGATGATGCTCGGGTTCATAAATGATGGGTGAGCTTGTGATCACAGGCCTGGGTGGCCTTGATGAGGAGAGCAGTCAGGAGCCTGAGAGCCAGGTGGGAAGGTAAGGGTCCTGGCTTGGGTTTGGCAGGAGGGGAGAAATCAAGAACCTGTCTGAGTTCATAGGGTGACTTCTCTGGAGGTTGGTGACCCCTGGTGCCCCTTCTCCACAGAGCAAAACAAAAGGAATGATTTCAAAAGGGCCTATAAGGAATTCTGTGACATCCTCTTTCTCAATGGTGTTTCAAGCTGGGGAAAGAGTGCCTACTTGCTTGGGGTGTAGAGGTTTACAAAGTTGGCAGAGGATTGGCAGGAAAATCCATCCTTAATACAGAAGAGTTTCAAAAATCTTCTCAACTCTCCATCTCTCATCCACTCGCCCTCTGTTGAACTTCATGCAAGGTGGGGCAGATGAAAGGGGGAAAACCTGGTCTTGGGACTAGCCAAAGCTCACACACTGCTAATCCACAGCAGGGCTAGGCCAGAGCTGCACAGGGAGGAGGGGAGGGTGCTTCTGGCTTCCTCACTCCTCAGTAGTGGGGGGCTGGAGCCGGTGGCAAAATCCATTCCTGGGGTCTGTATTACTCCTGGGTCCTTGCAAAGCTTTCTGATCTCTCTCAGGAGCTGAAGGGCATTTTATCTGTCTTTAAAATATTCTATTTGACTTTCAAAAATAAGATACCACACACATAAAACAAACACTCAAATAAAAAAAGTCAAGGAACAGGTGAAAATTGAATAATAAAAAAAAAATCCACTGGCTGAAGAATTAATATTCATCCCTGTACATGTAAACCTGTTAAAAAGTAATGAATATCTTCATAATAAAAATAATGGATTCTTTTGAAACAGGTCTCTATCTTAGGTCCAGCGGTATAAACCACTGAATTTTGCCAAGGAAATGGTGGGCCTATGGAATCTACCAGTATTCATATCTTCTGAAAACAATTCCCATAAACGGTCACTGGGACTGTTAGCAGAAAACTTACTCTAGCCTATATTGGCAGCTACCAGTGATTTTAATTTTTCCTTAAAAATGTTTATTTTTTAATTTAGAAATGTGAGTTTCCGGTGCTCCTAACTATACTAAATGTGAAAGGACCAACCTATCCCATATCTCTCTCCTAGGGACCTTCTCTGTGAATTTCTTATCCCTGCTTGGTGGGCTGGCATCAGGATCCCAGGTGCACTCCTTTCTCTTCAATTAGCGCAGGCCTTGATGGTGACAGGGTAGGGATAGGCCCCTTATCAGGGGTACAGGTTAGCTACCGAGGACAGTTACTAACAGCCACCTGTTGACTGAACATTGAACAATTATTGTGGGTCAAACACACTAGGCATTGCCCAGACACTTGTGTTAATGTTCCCACTCTCCTTGCCAATCTAAAGTCTTGAGACACCTTAGGTTAAAGTCTTAGGATATATTACGTCAGGACAGATGAAGAAACAGGCTCAAACAGAGTTTGAGTCCCTTGCCTGAGAGCATACAGCTAGCCAGTGGCAGAGCGAAGTGGGTCGGCCTTCATGAGCCATACACTTCCTACTTTGTATGCAGCCCTCACTCTCAAGGAAGGAGGCCCATGGAAACGCTCAGAGACTAGTGACTCCTCCATGCCCATCTCCACTAGGCCATCTCTTTGGGCAGCCCAGGGAGATTTTCTCAACCTCACTGAGAAAGAAGCTTCCACCCCTGGGCATGCCTGAGACCATCTCAAGCATTTCTGCTCTGCCTCACGTTCTTCCCTTCCTCACATTTGGGACTCCTGAGAGAGAAGGCGCCACCTTCTGGCCGGCAAGCCTGGCAAAGAGAGCCTGGCTGCTGCACCGAGCTGGGGCACCCGTCACCACTGCCTGGGGCACATGGCTTTAAGGTGCACCTGCTGGACAGGCCAAGTGATGCTACCACTTCTCTTTGTGCTCTCATGTTGTTGGTGCTGCTGCCTCTAGGGTCTCCATAGCAACTGTCCCACGGAGGAGAGAAGCAGGTGTAATGTTTACCTTTCTAAGGAGGGGCAGCCAGAGCTGCCTTACTCAAATTAGAACCAATTCCAGTTAGAACCAAGTGCCTAAATCAGGGGGCTGGAGAAGTCCTCTGTGGGTGGTGTGCCTAGCCCTCTGACTCCTACCCTCCATCCGGCTCATCACTTCTGGGGCTCTTTGCAATGACCAGCCTCTGCCTATTAGCTTTGGTGGGTGGTGGGACAGCTTCCTCCACGTCCCCCAGCTATGCAGGGACAAATCTAGAACCAGGCAGGCACGCCAGAAATGACAAGGGGAGAGCAGCTGTGCCTTATGCTGGTGGCCCACTGTCCAGGCACTGATCCCCCAGCTTCCTTCCCAAGCCATGCATTTCCACCTTGCCTGTGTTCTTCCTGTGCAGGGGAAATGCCTCCCACCTTTCATATCAGATCTCCATCCGTTCTTCCTCTGGTTCTGACTGAAAAACCATGGTGCTCTCTGTCTACTCAGCCTGCAGGGAAGCTTTTTGGGGGGTTCAGGAGTGGAGTGGAGGTGGGCATTTCACTTGTGAGATCCCTCAGTAGTATGTCTTCCTTTAGCCCATGCAATGCCTTCCTCTTCCCTGTTCCTCCGTCCCTCCCAGATGCACTTTAGGATCTTAGTTCTGGTTCACTCCAAATTAGGCAATGGTAAAAAGACTGGAGGAAACAGGGACATGGCCATGTTGCTACTAGCAACGACATGATGCTTTTTTCCAAGTAGGACGTTCAAGTGACCCTTGACCATGGCTCCAGGGGAGAGTGCCTCTGAAGTTTAGTGGAAGAGGCAGCAGGAGGAATCATTTGCCGGGCAGCATGTGAGTCTCCTGCAGGACCATGGGACTCTAACTCCGCCTCCCAAGGGCACCTCTCCTCTCCTACACACATGGTCACCCAAAACCCATCCATAGGTTGGGGTCCATGGTTAAGCCAGCTGCCAAAGCAGAGCCTAGAAGGCACAGGCAGTCAACATGGTGACCGCCTCCCCGCACCCCAAAGCATAATCTTTCCATGAATGTCCATGTCCATTTGGACACAAAGGCAAGGGAGGACTACTTAGTTCTCTTTCTTCCCTACCACCAGGAACACGCCACAACAGGCATTTATCACACATGTATTTCTGACCTGAAAGAGTGCATCAGGGGATCCGTCAAGCAGCATTTTCAGAGATCTCTTGATAGAAACTTGGGTCAATGGATGGGAACCTTCTTCCCTAAGAACCCTTTTTATCTGTTGTTGTAAAGCTTTTTGCGCCCGTGGAACAAAGGATAGGTGCTCACCCAGCTTTCTTCTCCCCTGATGGTCTAGTATGTAGAAATTTGAGATTTGCAAGTTTCCTGCAGGACTTGGCCCTGGGCCACAGAGGAAGGTTATGGGAACCATAAGCCTAAGGATGCTGCTGTTGGATTTAAAAGCATTGTGGAAGGTAGTAAGCATTTCTCTCCCGTTTTGCTAGGGGCCCAGGAGAAGCGATCAGTACCTAAAGACATTATTTGCGCATTGCCTCTGGGACAAGGGACTTACATCTTAGCGTCATCTCGGGACCCCTGGCTCCTTGCCTCTTATGAAGAAAAAACTATGGATGCAAAAAAAAAAAAAAAAAAAAAAAAAATGGGACACCAAAAAGTAGGTGCTGCTGATTGTTCGTGGAACGAGAGTGTGGGAACGAGAGTGATGGGCAGAGACAAGGCCACGGACAAACAGATCATCTCTTCCGGATTTTGGAGCACCTTCTGTGCAGAAGGATCCCAAAAAAGGTTAGAGAGTGCGGACGCCGGATCACTCACCCACTGCTGGAAGGAAGCCACCTCGGGGGTGAAACGCAGCGGCCATTCTGACTCTGCGCCAGCAGCACTAGGCAATTGTGTTTTTAGGAAGGGAAGTGAAGAATAACTTATCCAGCTGAAACCATGAATACCTGCGGCTTTCGGGGTGGCCCCTGCCCAGACATGCGCACGGCTGCAACGGGCATGCAACGCAT